TCAGCTAGTTGGATATATCATATGTACAGCTCTAGCCAGGTCTGTAAGAATTCTGTGACTGAGGCCTAATGGAACCAATTTTCACTCTGGCAGAACAAATTCAAGTTCTAATACTAACTTGAATTCCAGTTTCCTTTGGATGCCGGGAATCAGATCCTTTAGGAGGAAATCGTATCAGCACCTCTGCCTATTAAGTGATATTCCATATATTTCGTCTAAATAGCTAGCAGGAACAATCGACTCAAATCAAATCTAAGACAGAAAACAAATGATTTTTTAATTACTGAAATTGTTTTATTATTATTTTAAAATACGAGTCAAGTGCAATGGTTCTGTTGGTGGTGGTGGGTTTTTTGTTTTTGTTTGTTTCGCCTTCTTTCCCTCTTCTCCTTTCAGGGCCTCAATTTTCTGCAGACTTCACCTATCTTGACTGTGGACCACTTCTTTAAACAGGAACCAATGCATTCATTTACCTACACTAACAATCATATTACAGTCACAGGCCATTAACTGTCACTCACATTTTTATTACCCTGCATCTGATAAACACTGATACACTTGAGCATCTTCCTCTGCACTGGAAAAAATAATAATAATTTAGATAGAATTCTAAAAGTTAGCATGTTTTGTCAATAGCTTCATTGTTCCTCGTGCCCATTCATCACATTTGCTTGCTATTGAAATCCTCCCTTGCTTTGTAACATTATTAAAGTCAGTCATTATTAAAGTAGTCTCAAAAAGAGATACCTCTGCAACTTCCAAGATGTTGTCAACTAGGAGTCATATTTTCAATGCTTCAAATTCTATTGCATTTTCAAGCTTCAGAAACAAATATAATATTCTTGCATATTTTCTAAAATGAAATTTTATGTAGACAATGATGTGATAGAAAAGACGATGCTTATCTAATGATTTTGGCATTGCCCCTTGATAACTACGACACTGAGAAAACCAGCATTGATTTTCCTGTTATCAGAACAAATTACAGTGCATGTTCTGGAGTCCTACATGTCTTATATTGAGAGAGAAAAATCACTGGGGAAAAAAAAAAGTTATTAGTTATATTTGTATTCATCTAGTTTCACTAATATATCTTTAAGGTACAGATTTTTTTATAACAATCACATATGGATAGGTGTAGTGGCCCATGCCTGTAATCCCAACACTTTGGGAGGCCGAGGCGAGCAGATCACGAGATCAGGAGTTCAAGACCAGCCTGGCCAATATGGTGAAAACCCGTCTCTACTAAAAATACAAAAATATTAGCCAGGCGTGGTGGCATGTGCCTATAGTCCCAGCTACTCAGGAGGCTGAGGCAGAAGAATTGCTTGAACCCAAAAGGTGGAGGTTGCAGTGAGCCAAGATCATGCCACTGCACTCCAGCCTGGATGACAGAGCGAGTTCCGTCTCAAAACAACAAAAATCACATAATTTTTTACAAGACCAACTTAAAGGATTCTTATATTGCTTTAGTTTTGTTTTTCATGAAATCTAGATTTAATTCAAGCTTCATGAAAAGGCAAAAAAAAAAAAAAAAGCACAAATAATTCCACAGTTCCTAATTTTCCAACCCTTCCTTCAGTAGGCATTGCAGATCATTTGAACCAGATAGTTTAAATTTTTGACGGTGCAGCTAAGTGAATAAGCATCTATCCATAGAATGCATGCACTGTTGCATCATTTTCAGTTAAATATAAAATCATTTTGCCAAAATATGACCACAAATGCAAAGCTGCTATTCTGAACATTTGGAACAACTATAGCTCATTTTTCATTATGTGTTGATGTTTTGGTATGAAAATACTGATGCCGGGCGTGGTGGCTCACGCCTGTAATCCAAGCACTTTGGAGGCCAAGGCGCGCGGGTCACCTGAGGTCAGGAGTTCAAGACTAGCCTGACCAACACGGTTAAATCCTGTCTTAAAAAAAAAAAAAAAAAAAAAAAAAAAACTGTTTAAGCAGTTCACGAATACTCTTTTCCATTTAATCACAAAGAAATACACTTGGTGTGAACATGATTTTTTATTGGTTACCAAAAATCCTTGGCAAAGTTCATGCAAGGTGAAGAAGGAAAGTCAGTCCTTGACAGTTTCCCAACTTCAATGAAAACCTAAGACACGGGCCTAGATTTACAGATTACACCTTAAGAAAGAGTCTGTGCATGATGTATCTGCTGTGTGTGTATTCATATGTGGGAAAGAAAGCAAGCCAGAGAGAAAGTGTGGAAGGACACAATTGCAAAAAGTTATTGCTCCTGGGAGATTTATTATTGGAAAATGGAGAGACAGAGAATTCAGCACTTTTCTTTCTAGTGACAATACAATGCTAGAGAGAAAACTTTTTTTTTTTTTTTTTTTTTTTTTAGTAATTTTCCTGTAGAATTTCTTATCTTGGGCTAGAGGGAATACCATCCCTGTTACACTGTTACATGTGTGTATGTCCAGATGTATGCACACATTTTTCTCTTCTGAAATATTTATCGCAAATCTTTTTCAGCCAAAATGCGTTGAGCTTCAAACAGGATCTGGGTGAGGAGAACCTTTTTAAAACTGTGCTCAAGCCGGGCGCGGTGGCTCACGCCTGTAATCCCAGCACTTTGGGAGGCCGAGGCGGGTGGATCACGAGGTCAAGAGATCGAGACCATCCTGGTCAACATGGTGAAACCCCGTCTCTACTAAAAATACAAAAATTAGCTGGGCATGGTGGCGCACGCCTGTAGTCCCAGCTACTAGGGAGGCTGAGGCAGGAGAATTGCTTGAACCCAGGAGGCAGAGGTTGCGGTGAGCCGAGATCGTGCCATTGCACTCCAGCCTGGGTAACAAGAGAGAAACTCCGTCTCAAAAAAAAAAAAAAAAAAAGAGCCGGGCGCGGTGGCTCAAGCCTGTAATCCCAGCACTTTGGGAGGCCGAGGCGGGTGGATCACGGGGTCGAGAGATCGAGACCATCCTGGTCAACATGGTGCAACCCCGTCTCTACTAAAAATACAAAAAACTAGCTGGGCGTGGTGGCGCGTGCCTGTAATCCCAGCTACTCAGGAGGCTGAGGCAGGAGAATTGCCTGAGCCCAGGAGGCGGAGGTTGCGGTGAGCCGAGATCGGGCCATTGCACTCCAGCCTGGGTAACAAGAGCGAAACTCCGTCTCAAAAAAAAAAAACCAAAAAAACAAAACCAAAAAAAAAAAAAACTGTGCTCAACTCAGCAAATGCTTTAAAAGTGAATTAAGGAGTAGTATCCTCAGTTGCATAAACATGCTCCAAGGCTGACGGCCTCTCTACATTCTGACTCCGAAAGAAAGCGTTTGGGCTTTCAAAGAATGAAGAAGAAAAAGCTTTCATCTTTCCTTCCCTCCCTTCCTCTCCATAATTTAATCAAGCAATTTTTTCTAGGTTCATACATATCTATATCTGTATACACACAATAAAGCTCTTCCTCCTTCTGGCTTTCTTTTCTCTTCTTTTCCTCTATCTCCAGTACCACAAGTTTGACTAAAAATAACTTTCCACGTAGAATTCTTAATACATCAACATAGGAAGGAGACATCCACTATCCCAAGACTCGGCCCGCCTGGCCTAGATGGGCCTAGATTTGGAGTATGCATTACAGCTGATTAAGTCTGATGCATGATTTATCTGGTGAGTGTTCCTCAACCCACTTCTCGAGGCTTTGCTTGCTTATCTAGGGGTTTCCGGAGGGCCCCCTGCACACCCCAGCAGAGCACGAGGTAAGTCGAGGATTTTCCAGGGTGCTGGGTGATGGGCCTAGCAACTTCTGCTTTCCCCCCTGGGGGAAACTGTGACATTAGAAAGGTGTCTGTGTTTCTTCTGGTTGGCCTGGAGGTTTCCTGAACCCCTGGACTGGCGACCCAAACCCCTGCACTTCAGGCTTGGTGCTTGGAGGAAACCTAGATTGGCAGACAAATCAACGCGCACCACACCCTGCGCCTCAACATCCAAACGCCAATATGTGCCCTTCAGGCCCCTCGCAAGAAGCATTTGGCCTCGGCGTGACCCGTGGAGAGGCGGGACCCCAGTGGAGAGCAAAGCACGGAGAAGCCTGGGAAGGAGCGTGGTGAGAGGGGAACAGGCCAGGCTGCCCCAGGCGCGCTGGGGTTGCTGCCGCGCTTCCTGCGCGCCCCAGTGCTCCCCAAATACCCAAGACGGCAATCGTGAGTGCGGATCAGTTTCTCTCTTTTCAAGAAAGCTACCTTTTTATTGAGTAAAAACTTAGCTGGAAAAAGTCTGCTCGTGTGTTTGGTTTTTCGTCTGTTTGCCTCCCAATTTAAAAGTGGCCGCCTAGGTGACAGGTCTGCGGTTTTCACAGTGTAAAACGGATTAGAGGAAAAGCTCCAGCCCCTCTCGACTTTCGATTGCGGTTTGCAACCCCTGGGGTGGGTCTGACCCCGCGCGGCACTTGCCCAGGCTAGCTTCCCTCGCGGCGGCCCGACCCGCGCGCAGACTCGGCTTCCCGGGTGCAGGACCCGCTAGGTGGGCCGCTTGGCCCCAGGCCTGGCAGGGCGGAGCCAAAGCCCTGCGCCCCGAGGGAGGGAGGTTCCCACGGTGCGTGGAAACTGCGCGTCCGGAGCCCACAGCCCTCTTCCCTTCCCCTGCGCCCTTGCACCCGCTCTCTGCTCCGCGGCTCCCGGTCGTCCCTCTCCTGGACTCAGGAGGAATTCAGAGCAAAAGGAAGGGAATTTACTGAGGATGGCACAGAAACCTGGGTTGGCTTGAGCGTCTCCTGCTCAGGGCACGTAGGTTTCCCCTAGGAATCTGGAGTTCTCTGAGGACACTTACTCCCAAGAGATGCTGGGTTCACATACACATACCATTTAGTTAGAAAAAAGAAAAATTGCACTTCGATCTTCTTCAGGTTCCTTGGTATCATCAAATAAAGCATGTCGACGGGAGTGGGCTGCAGCTGGGGGGCTCGTGAGGTGCGCGAGGCGAGGTTACCCTGCGGGTCTCACCATAAAAACCTGGATTCAAGAGAACGACGGATGTGGACGTGCCAACCCTCAGCGACCCTTTCCTGCTGGACTTCTGCTTTTTATAACCGAAAATAAAAGTTTTATTTAGACTTAAAGAAACGCCATTCTTGTCGTTCCTCCCTGAAGCGGGACTTACGCATCCTCCTATACTCGCAGGGAATTTTCAATCTAGCCTGTCGAAATCTCTAGAGGGGCATCCCCCGAAGAGGTCCTGCAGGTACTAGGGCCAAAGGATCAAGCAAATAGCTGCAGAGTTTTGCACACTCTGGCCGTTCTGGACTGTCAGGCCCGCTGCTAGAGACCTGCAGCGGGTGGAGCCCCGGCTGCGGGGCAGAGAACCCCGACAGCTGCGCGCGCGGGCTGGGAACCCGGCGGTGCCACCTTAAGAGTCGGGTCTGCGCGGCGGCTGCGGAGGCGCCCGGCAGCTGCAGGGGGCGCTGCTGCCCCGCGGTTTCTCCCGCGTCGCCGCTTGCAGCGGGCCTGGCAGCTCCCGAGCCCCGTCCCCGGAGGGGGTGGGGACGCTGTGGGAGGAAGGGAGCCGAGTGCAGCCGTTAGGTAAGGAACCCGAGCCCTCCCGGATTTAGAGGCGGCCTCAGTGAGGCGTTTGCAGGAGGGAGCTTTCCATCATTCGGCCGCGAGAGGAAACGCGGGGAGGCGCACTCCCCTGCCCCCACCGCCTGCCTTCCTGCCTCCCTCCACCTCCGCTCCCCGACCCCGACCGAGCTTCCCAGACCCTTTGTTCTCGAGGTTGGGAACGGCCGGGTGGGGGTTCCCCGGGGAAGAGGTACCCCGCATCACTCACAGGGGAAGGGACTGTCGCCTTCCCCGCACCCTAGCCCTCCCCAGCGCCGTCCCCCTCGCTCGCGGCCCCTTCCATCGCGTCCACGCGCTTCCGACTCCCCCAGCTCCCGAGCCTGCATGGTCTGCATGCCCGCCTCCCTTCCCACCTCCCCGCCACCTTCGAGGTCCCCGGGAAGAGAGGAGGAAAGGGAGACGTGAGGGAGAGGAGAAACCACAGAGCCTTCTCAGCGCGGAGTATCCCCAGGGACCCTTCCAGGCCCCGACCCCTGGGACCCGCCGCAGAGACAGGGCTTTCCCGGCGCCGCCGCAGGTCGCAAGGGCCGCCCCCAACGCGTCACCCTGGGTCCCACGGGCGCAACGCCCGGGCAGCTAGGCGAGGCGCGGCCTCTCAGCGCCAGGACCCGAGACCTCCAGCTGGAGAGAAGGGGACACCGTGGTCTGCGCCCCGGGGAGGCTAATTGCACAAGAACACCCCCCTCTTCCCCGCCCCCCACCGTACCCTCTGCAGCGCCACCCGCGTCGCCTCTCCGCCGCGCGCCACCCTGAGGGCTGTCGCGATTGTATCTTCTTGAGCACAGTTACCAATGCGTTCGGCTTCGTTTCTTACTCTGGTGGAGGAGTCGAGGAGGGAACCGAGAGGACAGGGATGTGGGGGTAGGGGGAAGCTGGGGCAGGAAACTGAGCAGAGAGGTGGGAGACGTGGCTGAGGCAGTGGCACCGGGCTGGGCCTCCGGGAGTCGGGAGTCCGGAGTCCGGGTCCGCCAGGCAGGCCCGGGTGCAGCCGCTTCCCGGCCGAGCCCTGCACGTCCTCTGCACTGTGGACGCCCGTCCGAGGAGCGCCACTCACACCCCCGCACCCCTGCAAGCTCCCGCAGTGGAGGGGGCTCCGCACCAGCCGGGTCACAAAGTATGTGCCCCTAACCCCCACCCTGGAGAAGAGGACGCTGCCTGGGGCCATCAGCTCCTGGCTGCCAGGAGCCCCCTCCGGCCTCTTGGCTTGACCCTGGTCCTCACTGGCTCGTCGCGAGCTGAGCTGCGCTAGCTGTTCTCTCGGCAGCGGGTTCCCCAGGACACACCCCGTCCCCACCCCCAAGAGCTGGCGGCCAGCTCAGGATGCCAGGCGGCCAGGCGGGCGCCCTGCCAAATTCCGCGTTCCTCTCCAGGAGACGGGGAGTTGCGTCCCAGGCTCGGGAAAGCCCGCAGTTCGGGCTTGGGACTTGCTTGCAAAGCCCCCCAAGGCGCCAGGGACGCCTCTGCAGGTTGAATTCCTGCTCCGTATCACTTCAGTTTTAATTAATCTTTTAAAACACCGCTGTCACGTCGCTTGCAGAAAATTAATCAAACTTGAATCCTTGTTGCATAGCAAGAATTTCGATCCGAGTCTTTTAAAAAGGACTTGACTTTGCAAAGTCACGTCTTTTGCAGCTCCCTCATTCCCCCTTTAGCAAGGGAAATATTGCAAAAGTCAAGACATGTTTGTTTGGTTCTTTCTATCTTCAAAATGAAACTTTGCTTATTTCTGATCTTTATTTTCCCGTCTTCGAACAAAAAAATAACGAGATAAATTGCCCACCTCGGTTAATTCAAAATATAATTACTTTGAATGATCTTTGTTTAAGAGCCCAGATAAACTAAGATAATCTTAATTTTAATGTGACACGACCCCTATTTTTCCTTGTGAATAATGAGAATAAAGCAGTCATTAATTAATACCAAGATATCTCCATAGAAGATGGTATCTGTTCTCACTGAGACACTGAAACATCAGTTGTATTAGTAATTGATACTGTATAATTGAACATGAAGATAGTCGTCTATTTGTAACCTCAAAGCTCAGTTTATTTGGTGATTACTGTGCTCCTAATAATTAATTTTTGTTCCTTCTTACTGCATAAATAATTCTTACAACTCCCAGTTCCCATGCAATACAGAGGTTTCTTATTAAAACCTACCCCTCAAAATACAAGATTGTGAAGCTATATTGTGGAGCAACTCCTTGTGTTTCATTATTTGTAACATATTTCCTCTATTTCATATCTTCCTAGTATATATTTTTTTTGCTGTAATTTGCCTACTAAATATATGAGAATATAACTAACGTATTTCACCACAGCTTTGTGTTTCTGTGAGCTCTTGGTTCAGTTTAACACACAATACTTAAGACTTCAATTTTTCAAGTTTCTAAAATCTGAGGATGAGTTCCATTGAAGAATCGAAAATTTTGTATGGTGACGTTGCCATAGATTATACTCTCAACCCAACACACAGTCCACTTTATCTCACACTTTTCTGTTGTTAAAAATAGACTTTGCTCAAACACGTTCCTTTTTTCCAACTTGAGTTGAAGATCAGTTCTCACAATTTCCTGGGTTAAATGTACATGCTAACACAGCTTTTGATATTAAAAAACAAATTCCCCTCCCATGTTGGAGAGAGTCCTTCCAAACAATCATGGAAATTTAGACAGTAGCTTTAAGGTGTCTAATTATTTCTTAGCATCAGCTATTTGGGGGCATCAAAATGACCTTCACTTTTTAAGTGGAAAGGGTTATGATATTTTTCTTACACATAGAAAAAAAACTCCCTACTTATTTTTCCAATAAAGTATCTCCCAAGTATGAAATGTTTTTTACCACATAAATATTCTTAGTACCTCCGCTACCAAATCCATGCATTTTCCTTAATTGTCAGTGCTCTATCTAAAGTGTTGGAAAGTATATAGGGTTTCCACTTTTATTTCCCCCTTAGTACAAATAAAACTTTAGGGCAATACATAATGGAGTGATTCTCTCCACTTGGATCTTATATTTTCCCACTGTAATTTGGACTGAAATGGGATTAAAACAGGATCTAGAGTTCTAATCTTGGTTGATGTTTCGGTGTATTCACCGTAATGAGTCCTATTCCCTGGGGTCATGAAGCTCCCAAATGTCAATCAAGCAAACTGATTCAGAAATGCCATTGTTCGACTCCCACGTCACTCGCCTTCCTCTCATTTTATTGAACAATACGAGAGTTCTCTGATCAGTCATTCGGAATATGAGGCATTATCTGGGGAAAATTCACAAAGTGTCTTGATCTTTCTTTGGGAGATACTGTTAAGGGGTTTCCGCAAAGCAGAAAGTCCTTGTTTATATTTCTGTCTTTGGACGGCACTGTGGATGGAAAGAACCAATGAATACCGCTTGAAAGAAAATCATACCGTAAATCCGTCAAAAATTAATTCGTCCAGTTGAATGTTACATTTCTATTTTCGTGTTGGAAGCACCCTGATTTGTCACCAGAGGAGAGGTATGACCCGGTCTGGGTCCAGTTGACATGCCCTCACGTTCAACCCTGTCTGTTTTCACCACTTAATACTATTAATGTGTTTAGTCTACACTAGTTAACTAGGAATTTATTTGGGGGCGAGGAAGAGCCAACCTTTGCCCCGGGAGTTCTACCCAGCCCACTCAGATACCTCCGGGAGTCTCAGCAAGTCGCATTTCCCAGTCGCAACCCAGGGTCATTCCTGCCTCTGTCCCAGCTCCCGGGCAATTCCCAAAGGCAAAGGCGTCGAGCGTGTTACTCGCTCCCACCAGCCCAAATTAATAATCAGCTTAATCCGTGGAGGCTTTGAGCCCGGTGCTCCGTTCCCTGAAGCCTCCTAGTGCGGAGCCCGGCTCCTGCGAGGACTTCCTTGGAGGGGGCAGGCGCGCAGGGACGGATTTCCTGGGAAAAGCTGTTGCTGGAGTGTTGCACATAGAGGGCTGTGGGCAAGGAGGCACGCACCGACGTCCCAGTTCTGTGCTCTCAGATCGGGATTCCTCCAAAATCGCGACAGCCGCTCAGGCTCTGGGTGCTCGCGTTGGCAGCACAGAGCTCCAAATGCACAACCCCGCGCGCCCTGCGCTTCCTCCACGCACACTTAGAGCCGAGGTGACAAGGAAAGGAGGCGGAGGTGGGGGCAGGGGTGGAGTCGCTCTCTGGTGGAGCATGATCGATCACTTTAAAGTAAAGGGTTCAAAAGTTTCAAGTGCCCCTTTGGAGGGGAGAGGCAAAGCTTTCCACGGCCTGCTTCTGCCTGCCACCATCGGGTTCCCGGCAGCCGCGCAACCACTGGGGATCTCGGCTGCCGCTTGCAGGAGCCCTTCTCGGAAACACGCTCTCCCCTCCCGCGCAGCGGGGCGAGGTTGCCGCAGCTGCTAGGGGGCAGTTTGGCTTCCCCGGGAGGACGGGAGTCGCTCGGCACAGAGGTGATCCCAGCCCGCAGGGCCGGGGGCGCACGCTTTTCCCTTTCTCAGCAAGCGGGAAAGGCCTGTTGATAGAGGCCGGCAGAGCGCGGGCGGCCTGGCAGCGCGAGGCTTCGGTGGAAACCTGAGCTCCCTGCGACCTGTTTTGCTAGCAGGGGCAGGGGAGAGCCCCAGTAAGCCGCCCCGGAGCAGGCCGTGCAAATTCCCGAGAAAAAGCCCTCTAGAAAACACCAAACCCTTCCAAAGCCGTGGCTCTGCCCCTCCCCCGTCCCGGCCTTCCATCCTGTCCCTGCGCATCATCCAGCCGGCCCTCACCTGCGACCTGGCCAAGGGCCTAGCCCCCCCTCTGCATCCCCACCTCTGCTCTTAAGCTCCTTCTCCCCCGACCTTTCTGAGGCCTGGGCGAGGGTAGCCAGGGTGCTGCAGAGGAAATGAAATTGTTCTGGAGATTACAGTGGGGCTTTGGGCCAGAAGGGTTTTTTTCCCCCTTCTTTTTCTCATGCTTCCATGTTAAGTGCAAACTTGTATCTCCCGTCACAAGAATAGCCAAATTTTCTCGCTTATTTGCAGTTTTGCAAAGTTTTACACACAGATCAGTGAACCTTAAGTGCCCTTGTTCAGCCCCACATTGTGGAGGTTTGTCAGGGTCCCTGGGCAGTGAGCGTAATGACAGGTGAATCCAGCAGCCCCAGAGGGAGCCCGACTTAACCCCAAGACTTACAATAGGCCAGGGGGCCAGAGGCTCCCCACACAGCTTCCAGCAACAGGTACCCTACACCAGGGCAAGCCTTCAGGGTCCTTTGGCTTAGGCCCTGGGTGAAGAAACTGTGCCTCAGTGACATGGGACAGAGAGGCCCCACCCACATGTCTTCCCCCCAGGAGATTCCTTCTCTCCAAATTACCCCTCGGTCACACAAGAACAAGAATCTCTGTGCTCTGTGCCACCTGCCCAGACACAGCCAGGCCTTGTTTCAGCCGCAGCAGAGGGCCTCGCAATGCAAGTCCACTGGTGCTCTCGACCTGCTTCTTCTTCTGACATGATTTAAGATAAAGAGGAGGAGGAAGAAAAGAAGAAGAAGCAGGGAAGAGGAGGATGGGGGGAGGAAGAGGAGCACAAGAGATGCTGAATGAAAGATGGCCAAAGGGATCAGCACAAAATGGAACAATTCCTCTTATCCAAATAGCCCCAGAGCTCAGTCTTTCCCACATTCTGAAAGAGAGAGAACTGGTTTTGATAACTAGTAATACTTTCTTCTTCGTCGTCTTTTTTTTTTTTTTTTTTTTTTTTTTTTTTGCCTGCCCCACCCCCGATAACTGGTAATACTTTCTCAAAGTAACTTTTTTGAGTGATATTTTACTCTTTCACCTAACTGGACCCAAGCTACCCTTCTCCCCAACCTGAAGAGAGGAATGGGCCCTTCAGCTTTGGGAAGATAAAAAGCTTTATAAGGCATAATAGCCTCCCCGTAGCCAGTCATCTCTCCACAGAAAGCCAGGGAGATTCAAGCTGTGAGAACCTAAGTGCTCCGTTGCATAACCAGTCTCAGCCTTAATCCAGCCAAGGTCAGCCCACGTTAAATTCCCAAGAAATGGGCTTACGGTTCCTCCTCCTGCCTGGACCATCCCCTGGTAAGGAGATTCTCCTAGAGAAATACATCTAGTCCTTACAACCAAACTCCCAAGTGGGAGCTACTCATCATTGTGATGAGATTAGAAGACCACGGCA